AGGGGAGCAGAGAGGCATGGAGCAGTGTATAAGAGTGCAGGACTGAGCGAGGGTTTATTTTTAAGATGAGATGTGGTATTTAAATGAAGATGGTGAAGAGACAGGAGAGGAGGGGAGTTGATGGAACAAGTGGAAATCATCCTCATTATCATCGTTATGTTTATTGTCACCAATGAGCAATCACAGGAACGCTTGCTCTGTTCTGAGGCTGCTCTGATTGATAGACCTTTCTTACTTGGAGCCTAGTCCTTTCAGCTCTAAGTCTGACCCCTCTGGTCCCAGCCCTGTCCTGTGTTCCTTCTGCACTCCACATGGCTCTATGCTGCTTGCAACTCTCCTCTCTGCCACACTAATCTCCCTGAGCCCTCAGGCCAGCACCTCCCCACTGTCCAGACCCTTGACTGTTCTGGGGAGACTTAGAAAATTTGAAACAAATCAAAGAATTTTATTTTACCTCTATTTCCCTGGCGAGGGACACTTATGCCATGCCCAAACGACCTTCTGATAGAAGCGCACCAGGCTGTTTGTGGTTCCAATATTTAAGGAAGAATAGCACATCCTATAAATCTGCAAATTGCAAGCAAGCAGGGTTCAAGGGCTGAAAAAAAACAGTGAGCAGAGCAGAGTCAGACGACCGCATCCTGGGTTCAAGCCCAGTTGTGGTTGTACATCCTGGGTTCAAGTGCATTTGCAGATATATGAAGCACAGAAAACCAGTTTTTTAAATAATTCTTAAAAACAGCTTATATAACAGTTTCACACGGGAACCATAAAGATGGAGTCATTGGTTATACTTACTATTTTATTAGTCTCTATATTATTAATCTATAACTTATTAATTGTATTGATTAATTCAGACCATAACATTGACCCTCTCGGCCAAGCCCACGTGGCCACCACCGAGTTTGTGAAGACCCTCCTAAAAGGTGGTGTGCTGGGGCTGGGGCTGGGGCTCAGAGGTAGAGCGCTCGCCTAGCACGTGCAAGGCCCTGGGTTCAATCCTCAGCACCACATAAAAATAAATAAAATAAAGGTATTGTGTCCAATTACAAATAAAAAATAAATATTAAAAAAAAAAGGCGGTGTGCTCACTCTTGCTTTGCTGGTGGAAGCATGAAGTGGTTCTCTGTGGTCTGACAAGGGAGCGGAGATGTAAATGTGTGCGGCCTTTGGCCAGATGTTCCTCCTCAGGAGCTAGCGCCCTGGGTGGGAGAAGATGGAGAAGATGCTTGTGTGAATGTTCCTGGTGACACGGGTGGAGGGCAGACAGTGAGTGCAGTAGTCAGGCCCTGGGCTGGGCGTGAGTTAAACAGATGTGAAAGCAATTCACGCTCAGGGCTCTCCTTTCACTTTGGAGCTACCTTTGCTCAGGAAGCCCAGGCTCTCTCAGCTAGAGACAGACTTTGCTGAGAGGCACTTCTTCCTGGCCCAGCTCTGAGAACTGTCTCGCCATGCTGTCCGGGGGCCAGCTCTGCGGGTATAAGTCCGTGAGAGTCCTTCATATCCACAGTGTGTGGGTTGGGATCCTGAAGAACACCTTCCTGGTGGGCACCTGCATCTACATATGGTGAGTCAGGCTGTGAGCCAGCCAAGGGCCACACAGCCCACCTCCCTTCACCTCCCCCTGCCTGTCACTCAGTGTCCCCCTCTTCAGCAGGAATGGCCTATGGGAGCCCCTGGGATGGCCCTGGCTCTTCTCATGTCAGCTTTCTTTCTCGGCCAGATTCTCCCCAGCTCTCCTCTCCCCACATCCATTTACCCATCCTTCCAGGCCCAATTAAATCCCCTGTCCCTCATGCCCTCTTTGTTCCAGGGACCAGAGGCTTTGCCTGCTGCAGAGAACAAGGAACCACAGCTTCTTAGAGCTGAAAGGACATGGGGATTAGTGAGCCCAGAGTTATCCCCTCACTCAGGGATCAAACCCAAGGCCCAGAGAGGTGACATGGCTTATCTGAGTAACCAAGCAAGGGCAAGAGAATACGGCTGGGGAGGTCATGAGTATATTCCTTCCAAAGGGCAGAATATTGTAAACTCTCTTTTGTTCCCTCTTTTTTCTTTGATAAAGCTCTGGCATGTTTTAATTCCTAAAATTTACACATTCCTCATGATACAAAGACAGGTTTCTGATTATGAGACTGTTAGGTTCTATTAAAGCTGATCTAGAACAAGTTGCACATTCTGGAATGAACACAGAGAGAGATCAGAATTGAGCTCCCCCAGTGGTGGGTCAAACTGACCCAGTATTGTTCTGGGACAATATTGCAATGTCCAACTCAAAACACATCATTACATTATCATGTATGTGTTTTGGGGCTGGGGGAGATGTGTTACTGAACAAGTGTTATCTGTGTCACGTGTGCTGACTAGTCCCAAGTCTGGATCTCTAGGCCCAACATATTTTCCCCCCATATCTTCCTTCCTTTCTTTTTCTTTCATTCTTCTCATTATTAAGTTTTGGTTGTACTAAGGATTGAACCCAGGGCTTTGATCATGTCAGGCAGGCACTCTCCCATTGAGCTACATCCCCAGCCCTTGACAATTTTTCTCTCTAAATGAATGTCATAGAAATTCTGGCATGTGTTGTGAATAACGTAGCTCTCATGTGCCACCATGTGATCTAAGAAATAAAACATTACCAACCCAGTTGTGCTCCCTGAAAACCCATCCATCATCCCATTCTTTCCTCTCTCCTTATAAAATCATGCTGAATGTGCTGTTTGCATTCCTTTGTTTGTTTTGATAGTTCTACAGACATGACAATGTCTGTAAAAATATATAGTTTTTAGCTCTTCTTTTTTGAGGTAAAATTCATATAACATAAAATTAACCATGTTAAAGTGAACAAGACCATGGCATTTAGTATATTCACCATGTTTACAACAACCTCCTCTATCTAGTACCCAAATACACTCATTGCCTTAAAAGGAAATATCATATTTATTAAGTGTTACGCTTCATTTCTCACTCCCCTCCCCTCTGGCAAGCACCAGTCTACTCTGTGGATTTACCTTTTCTGAATGTTTCGCGTATAAACGGAATCATAGGAGATGACCTTTGTGTCTGGCTTCTTTCACTTAGGAGACAATGTTCTTGAGGTGGAACATTGTTTATCCACACTTTAGCATGTATCAGTACTACGTTCTTTTTTATGGCTGCAGAGTATTCTATTGTATCTGTAGACCGTATTTTGTCTATCCATTCATCATTTGGGTTATTTCTACCTTGTGGCTGTTGTGAATAGCACTGCTATGGACATTCCTGTTTGAGTATTTGTGAGTACACAGCATTGCTTTGGATTTCTTCAGGCTTTTGACCATACTGCAGCTTGCTGTGTTTGCTCGGCATTATTGTGTTACTTCCTCGTTGACCAGGCAGCTCTGGGCAGCTCACTCTTCACTACTGCAGAGCCTCCCATCGTGAATCCAACAATTTATTTATCCACTCAATGTTTGAGAACATTCAGGCTATTTCCAGTTTTCCTCTCACAACGCTGCATGAACATTCTTGTACGTAGCTCCGTGGACCCACGTGTGACAGCTACTCAGGGGCAGATACCTAAGAGTGCCATAGCTGGGCCCTAGAAAATGCCTTTTTCCAAATATACTTGCTGTTGCCAAGCATGGACTGTCTTTTCAGAAGTCTCCTGGCAGGTCTGGCCCATGGCTGTGCGTTATAGTCTCCTGAGGAACATTTAAGAAAGACACAAGTGTCTAACTAACTGCCCAGACTGTCTAAATCAACCTCCAGGGACAGGGCTGGGGAGCTGCGATTCTGAAAGCTCCTGGGTGACTTCACTGCTCAGCCGGGTTGAGAACAGCTGGGAGCGTGTCATGGTCTACTGTGCTTTGGCTTCCCAAGGTCAGCTCAAAGAGGGCGACCCTGGACTTAGACTTATGGCCTGAGAATTTCACTCAGGGGCTGGGCAGAGAGGAGGGACAAAATAAATAGATGCTGAATGTGTAAACAAAGCATTTAAAATAAGCTCTTAATTATTCAGGACAACAAGAGACATGGAAAACAGAAAAATGGGGATAGAATCTATCTGTTTCTTGGCAACACTGGGAATCAAACCCAGGACTTAGGCATGCTGGGCAGGGGTTCCACCACTGAAGGACATCCTTAGCCCTTTTTTTAAAAATTATTATTTTGAGACAGGGTCTTGATAAGTTGCCCAGGCTGGCCTTAAACTAGCAATCCTCCTGCTTCAGCCTGGAGTTACAGGTTATAGGTGTGTGCCACGGTACCAGTCAGAACCTACGATTTTTAATTATTAATTCCACTTATTCCCTCCACCCCACCCCCCACCCCAGCAGTAGGATGGTTGGCTCTTGGCAAAATGTAGACTAATGGTGGACCTCAGTTCTGCCATGAGCTGTGTAACCCTGGGCAAGTTCCTTCGCCTCTCTGAGCCCATTTACTCACCAACAAAAGAGTGGTGATTGCAGTCACTATCTCTTATTGCTGTGAGAATCAAAACAGTTGATACATTTAGAGAACTTGGCATATCTAAGTGCTTGGTAAAGAGGATCTGCTATTATCAGCATTATTGATAAAGCAGGTGGGTTCCTGAAAGCAGGTCAGGCTGCTGACCTGCCAGACACAGTCTTAGATAGGAAGGTGCTGACGTGTTACTGAGCCCAGGACAAAGGTGGTGAAGCAACCTGGAGCTGCACGTTATTACCTGAGAAGCTGTCCTACTAATGCAGATCTATCCTAGGTAACAGTGAAGAAGGAGTGGGGGCCACTGTTTTCTGCAGCAAGGGCCCACCATGCAGCACATGCTACACCAGGGGGTTTGCACACATTATCTCATTTGAGCCTCACAGTGATCCCAGGAGGTAGGTTTAACTATTGTTCCCATTTTGCAGAGAGGGAAAGTGAGTCACCAAGAAGCAGGGCTAGCATTCGAAAGGATGTGGCCTTCAGGGCCTGCATCCCAAATCATGGCCTCAGACCCCCCTGGAGAAAGCCACTGATACCTTTCTGTGTCTGCCACTTAGTTTCGCTTTGGTGAGTGACAAGCTGTACCAGCGGAAAGAGCCTGTCATCAGCTCTGTGCACACCAAGGTGAAAGGGATAGCAGAGGTGACGGCAGAAGTCGTGGAGAACGGGGTGAAGCGCTCAGTGCAGAGCGTCTTCGACACTGCGGATTACACCTTCCCTTTGCAGGTGAGCATCGGCATCCCTGGAAACCATCACCAGGGCCTCGCGCCCTTCCCCTGGGACCTACAGCCCCACTCCAGAAAAATGAACGTTGGCCCTGTTTTAAAAGCTCTGTGAAAATCCCTACTGAGAAAACCTAAAAATTGAAAAACTGGGTCAGATCCAGCAGCTCAAAGAAGATAGTTCTTTGCTCTATCAAGTCCTGTAGGGTTTCTCAAAATAGCAGCGTGTCCTGGTGCATTTCAAACATGGTCTGATTCCCTCTCGCTCTGTGTATACTGACACCTGCACGGCTCTTCAGAACCGGGGCCACTAGGCAGCAAGGTCTGCCTGCATTCTCCAGGGCAAAAAAAAATTGCCGCCTGGAGAGTGCCAGCCTTTCTGCATTGTCTCTGTGGCCTTTTGTCACCAAAAGACTTCCAGGAGGCCATTTTTGGAACATTCATATCCTTTAGACACCAAAGAAGGATGTAGGTGAGAAAGAAGAGCAGGCATGGGTCACAGGGCACAGGTACAGGAGTGTCTTGGCCACCAAGCAGAGAGACTGAAAGCAGAGTTCCCAAAAAGGAGAAATTACAGAGGGGTGTGGGGATGCCCAGGGACAGATGGGGGACAGGAGGAACAAAAGGGCATGTTTGCAGCTGCGGGAGCCATCAAGGCCAAGCCACTATCTGCTTGTTTCTTAACAGTGGGTCGTTAAAATCCAGCCATCGGCCAGCTGGCAGGATGCCCTGTTGCCCTTTCATTAAAGTCTTGGAGAACTGAATAGCCTGCTCAGCTGCGCCCCCGCCCCGCCCCCGCCTCCCCAGGTCTCCGGAGTCTCGGTTTAATGGGATTTTATGGTGGCAAGTAAATGAAGGGCCGCTTTTGAGGCTGGATTGGAAATGACTGCTCAATCTGTTTGAATGTTCCCTTGCTCCCCCTCGGCCCAGCAGGACGGCTCCTCCAGCTTTGCTATCAAGCCCCCGGCATAGTCCATGTGCCCACGGACCCTGGTTTCTAGAAGCTTAGAGGGATGCGCCGGGAGCTCAGCAGCAGGCGGGGTCATTGTGATCGAGCTGTTCTGTTCCCTTCTCTCCTCCTTCTGCTCTGCAGGGGAACTCCTTCTTTGTGATGACAAACTTTCTTAAGACAGAAGGCCAAGAGCAGCGGCTGTGCCCTGAGGTAAGGAGGGGACCTGTGGGGGTGGGTGATAAGAGTTCCTGGAGGAGACTGGGAGGGAAGACAAAGGGGGATGAGCCAGGATGTAGTCAGCCCACCGATGTCTACTGAGCACCTGCCTCCGTGAGGTGGGTGGTGAGGTAGGGCGGTAGGTGGAAGAAGGTTGGAAAAGCACTGTAGGTCTCTCCTTGCCTCCAGCTGCAGTGGCCTGGAGACCTGCTCTTTCCCTTGGTAGCTTCCTGGGCATCTCAGCAACATGATTCTTGGCATTTGCAAATCTGATTTCATGTCACTGGAGCCCACAGCTTCTCCTGCCAAGGTCCACCATGAACTGTCTGCAGGGTGGGTCCCAGGGAACAGTGGCAAGCAGCTCGAGATGGCCCATTTCCCCCTCTTCTTAAGAGTTTCCGTTTCTGTATCAGGCCTCCCCACCCCCACCACCCCACACAATCTTCCCACCTCTGTGCTCTTGACCTTCCCCTACCTCCCTCTGGAAAATGTCCTCTCTCCAACTTCACAGTCAGAGTCTGCTCTGTCCAACGGGATGAAAGGCTAGCTCTCTTAAGTTTGTCTGTACCCATGAATCACCACTAGGCCTTACCTGTTCCTCCCCTCTCTGGGGACACACCTGTGCCTTATACCAGGGACCATTCCCAACACTGAGGGAAGCAGCCATGGTGGCCATATCTCCACAGGCCCTCTGCCCACGGGCAGAAGAACCAGCCTGGCCATGCGGGTCCTGACCCATCCCTCTGGTCACGAGGCCTAGTTTTCTGAGTGTCCGGAAGTTCCAGTGAACATGCTTACTCCTTGTACAGTCTTTGTCACCGTGGTACCCAAACTTGGGACCAAACTGACGTACCCTTGGTGTCTATGTCAGTGAGTAGCCCCCTGCAGAGACCTCTGGACATTCGTTTCCCCGTCTCCCCGCGAGCGCCCTGCTCTGAGGAATCAGCCAAAGCCAGCCTGGGTCAACTCACCTTCCTCCGCCCTTCCCAGCAGCACCCAGTCTCCAGGCCAATTGGGAGCCCTAGTTCTCCTTTGCCCTTCAGTCTGGTCACCTCTATGTCACACTCTAACCCCATGTTTTCAAAGACACTTTTCATGTCACTGAGACTTGCAAGAAGTTAAGGACAGCTCAGGGGGAACAGCCCGGGCTCGATGCAGACTGTGAACAGTTCACAGCTTGACTTATTGACCTGGTGACTGCATGGGCGACTTCACTTCTCTGTGCCTTGGTGTGTTCAGAACCTTGCTCTCAAGGTTGCTGAAACAAGTGAGCAGACAGACTCCTGTGACATGACGGTGCATTGTGGCATTCTAAATGGAGCTGTTAGGGTTTAGGGGTTCCTCTGCTGCAGATGGGAGGTCACTCTGAGCAGCTCCAGGGAGGCACTGCTGGCCCAGAGAGCCCCAGAAAAGCTCTCTGGGATTTTAACCAGCTGGTTCGGGTCAGTGTAATGGGACAGTCGCCTCCTCTCTTTGCATGTTGACACCTACTCTATCTCTGGTCATCCCAGGGATCGTGGCCAAGCCCTGGGTGTATGGAGTCCTATATGAGTGAATGTTCCAGTTATCTCTTCAAACCACTCTGAACTTGGTGGGCTTCTCAAAGCCTTGTGTGACTCTCACAGTTCCACGGTGGCCTGGGCTCAGCCAGCGGTTCCTCTGCTGGTCTCACTTGGGGTCTGTGGAGGGGCTACACTCACCAGCAGCTGGTGCTGGCCTTCTTTGGAGGCTCTCCTGGCACCAGGGTATGACTGGGCACCTCTTCCTCTCTGGAGGGTCTGTCCACATGCTCTCTCCAGCAGCGTAGTGACTTAACAGCAGCACTGGGTTCCTAAAGCCCAAACGCAGAAGGTTCCAGGCCCTCAGAAGCCTGAGGCTGGAGCTGGCACTGTGTTACTTGTCCTGCTTCTGCCGGTTCTGCAGTCAGGTCACCCAGCTTCGGAGGGGGCAGGGGAATACTCCACCTCTCAACCTAGACGGTGACCGAGAATTTGTGGCCATCTTTAATCCACATAATACTCACAAAATAAAACTAACTTTTTTCTTAATTTTACAGTTTATTCTGGAAAATAAAAGTGAATCAATTTATCTTCTTTCCTAAGAATTCCTTGCAGTTCATAATGGAAATGTAACTGTCCGTGAGCCACAGAGGTTGATCATTCATTCATTTATTTCATGTTCATCAGACCTACTAAGTGTCAGGCAAAGATATGACCAGGCTTTGTGGTCCAAGGGCTCTTTGAAGGGGTTCATAGCCTCATGGTGGCGGGGGGTCAAAAGGAGAAGAAGCTGGGGGCCTGGAGGGTGACAGAAGGCAGCCTAGGAAGAAAAGAGAACGTGGCAGAGTTTGAAAAGCACAAGCAAAGCTCACTGAGCGGCACTTTGTGCTGAGGCCTTTCTTTGCATAACTCAATAGTCTTCATGGTGACTACGTAGACAAATCTGTCTCCCCTTACAGATGAGGTAACTGAGGCTTAGGGAGCAAGAAAGGGAGCAGCTGTCACTGAAGCCAGATGCACCTGGGTCTTTGCCTTCAATTTCTGAAAAAGCCACAAACTGCCCAGAGGTCCTTGAGCAGAGGCTGTTCCACATTTGTGTCACATTCTGGCCACTCTCAGATTGGCTGGCGCATCTGTTCCAGAGAGTAGAGTCAGATATGCCCAGACCAAGCCATCTTGCTTCTCTTCCTGATTGTGTCCTTCAGCCCTGAGACACAACTGACCTCATTTTCTGTGGCCAGGAGATAGTGCTGGCTGATGACCCCTGTTTCCACATCACCTGCTGCATCTTGGCACCTGTCTGCGTTGCTCAATTCTGAGCCACAGAGCCACCTGGGCCAGGCCACCTGCTCTCCACCTGCAGGGCCATTGCTGAAGGTGGCCCCCTGGCTGCTCTGACATCTGCTATTTACATTCTTATTTGTTTTTATTTTTTATTGAATCATAATTCACGTACCATAAAGCCCACCACTTTAAAGGAAACAACTTTTTATTCTCTTAGCAACACTGTACAACCATCATCACGGATTCCAGAACATGCTCATTTGCAGCCAGTCTCCACTCCTTCCCCCAGTGCCTGGCAGCCACCAAGCTGCTTCCTGTCCCTATGGATGTGCCTATTCCGACATTTCCTGAAATGGAATTGTATAGTTTGTGACATTTTTGTCTGTCTGGCTTCTTCCAATCAGCATCATTTTCAAGGTTTATGCATGACATAGCATGGGTTGGTGTTTCACTCCTTACGGCTGAGTGACAGTCCACGAAGGAATGTACCACATGTCATTTGTCCATTCACCTCTGACAGTCACTTGGCCTGTTCACGCTCTCTGGCCTTTGTGGGCAGTGCTACCATGAGCACTGTGTGTGGGTTTCTGTGTGGCCAGACACGGATTTCTCCATATCTCAATGACACAGCGCCCCTTCCTTCTCCCTGCAGAATCCCACTCGCAGGACACTCTGTTCCTCTGACCGGGGTTGTACAAAGGGCTGGATGGACCCACAAAGCAAAGGTACCTTCTGGGTTTTCTCCTGGAGTCCAGGGTGGGAGGGGATCTGGCACCTTGGTGACATTCACAGTGCCCCATTCAGGTCCTCAGCCTCTGGCTTTACAGCCTTCTTCCACCACCGCGAAGCCACAGGTGGACCCGTGTCTGTCCTAGGCCTTGGCCTTCTCCAAGGCTGACCAGCTACAGCCTAGGGACTGGGCTCAATTTCCCAGCCAGAGAAGTTCCTCCGAGCCTGGCCTGCCAGGAGGTGATTGGTGAAAAATCACCTGGCCCATCACATCATCTAAGTATTCTGAACTTTCTCCCTGAAATTCCCCAAGATGGAGCTTAAACTCCCAAGGAACTTGGGGGAAAACCCATACTTGCCTGAAGAATCTCATGCTTTAACTTAAAAAGGTATTAGACAATGCAACAAAAAAATACTGCAAAAAATAATTTAAAAAGAAAACTGTCAGTGGTAATAATGCACACCCTCCCCAGAGGCGTGTGCAAGTGGCTTCTGTTCCATAGTGCACCGTATCTGAGTTGGTATCTGGCCACTTGCCAGTGGCTTGCCGCTCACTGGATCCTCCCTCTCCTCCCCATGCTCGGGAAGGTGAACCATGTTCATTCCATGGCTCTGCACATCCCTTGGCAGGCCGTGTGCCCCGTGGGTGGACTCAGATGCCCACCTGGGGAGCCAAGTGCTAGACCACTGTGCCTGGCGAGAGGAGATGCTGCTCAGCTCCCCTCTTGGGCATCTTTCATCGTAAAGAAGACGAAAGGGCCAACGGAACCCAGATCTCGCTGAGCTGATTCCAGAACACTCCACCCCACGAAGAAATCGCATCCCCATTTGTGGCTACTCTCCACTCCTTCCCCTCAGTGCCTGGCAGCCACCAAGCTGCTTCCTGTCCCTATGGATGTGCCTGGTCCCTTCTAAAGGGCTTACTGTTCAGTGTCATGCTCATCTGCTTTGTCTTGGGGTGAGGATGGGTCCACAGGAGCGGAGGCTGCTGCTTGGGTGGTGTCCATGACGCCTACCCTGGAGAATGTCCTCCATTCACATCGGAGGCTCTTCACCTCTCGACCCCACAGGGATCCAGACTGGCAGGTGTATAGTGTACAAAGGGAACCAGAAGACCTGTGAAGTTGCTGCCTGGTGTCCCACCGAGGCGGTGGAGGAGAAGCCCCCCCGGTGAGTTGCACGGATGGGGAGCAGACAAGGTGGCCCTCAGCAGTGGCCAGGTGACACCTTGCCAGGGTACTTGGGCTTTTCTTTCCCAGAGCAGCCCGCAAAGCCCTGGGCCTTTCTGCCTCAGGGTCCCCAGGCCAGGCGCACTCTAGGCACAAACCACTGTCCCTGGGAAGTTGGCGCTGTTGTTGATGTGGAGAATAGTTCCATACCTGCTGGTGCATTACCACTACCCAGAGCACCCTTCCGGGCCACCTCCAGACTCCTCCTCTAGTGCCACGGCAGCGTTTGTTCTGATACACCAGTGTTCATATTGAGTGAGTAAGGGTAGGAAATGGAATGGGAGGAGGGAGAGAAAGAGAAGGGAGGGGAGGCAAGGAATCTTCTCAAACAGTCACCTGACATACAGATTTGGTGGTTCCCTGTATTGATATTTCTCTTTAACACACAGGTTGGGATATTAAATCTTAGAAACCACAAGGGCTGATGCATTTCAGCAGAGAATAGTTAGAAAGACCTGGATTCAAATCTTGCTTCTAGTACACCTTTGCTGTGTGATCTTGGGCAAGTGACTTAACCTTCCTGAGTGGCAGTCTCCTCATCTGTGAAATGAGAATAATAACTGCCTCTACCTCATGAGGTGTTTGTAAGGATTAAATGAAACAATACTTGTGCATTGTGAAGTGAGCCCCATGCCTGGCTTCCACATGCTCACACGCACACGTAAGATCTACCCGGGAAGTGTGCTAGTTTCAGACCAGCACTGTCCAGTAGAACTTCTGCAATGATGGGAAGGCAGTAGCCATGCTGCCCGATGTGGTAGCCACCACTTGAAGTGTGGTTATGATAGGTAAGCAACTGGATTTTAATTAAATTTAAATTTAAATAGCACACATGCCTAGCAGCTACCCAGACCAAAGTGGCTCAGGGCCACTCTCCTAGCATGTGTGGGGCAAGGGAAAAACTGCCTAAGGGGATGTGTAGAAGGCTCAGGCCAAGGTCCCCAATGCCGAGGCAGGGCCGCCCTGTCTGGCCCACAGTTGTTAAACTGGGTTCATTTCTAGGTCAGGGAAGTTTCTTGGTCACAGAAGAAACTGCCCAGCTGTGGGTGGGACATCTTCCCACACCCAAGTGACTCTTAGTTCAAGACAAGGGGCCCCTTTGCTTAGCGCTGGCTTTCAATTCTGACTCTGCCACCAACTCATTCATCAGCTAAATACCGCATGCGTCTCCAGCTGCCTGGCCCTAGGCTGATCTGACAGCTCTCCAGTTTCCGGTGTGCTACATGAATTAGCCAAGATGGCTCATCTTGCCATTCACCATTACCATGTAGTAGGCACTAGATATTTCACATGTGATGATGACTGCTAAGTTTTATGTGAAACACAAGAAGTTCAGGTATGGAGCAGGTCCCAGGGCTCTTTCAGTCTAATAGAAGAGATAAGACACATGCACAGAGATCTGTAATTCAAGATAGAATGTTGTAAATGTCACATGAAAGCAATGAAGAGCTTTGATCCTTAAAGTTTTGGATCCTGTAGTCCTCTGATTGTCAAGAGTGCTGCTCAGGAAGTGTGAGGTTTAGAATGTTCTACAGGTAAGAGTCTAGCACACAGCAGGCATTTGTTGTAAATAAGATTTTTTTCTTTTTTTGATTTTGTTTTGCGGTACTGGGAATTGAACCCAGGGGTGCTCTGCCACTGAACTATGCCCCTGGTCCCATTTTAAATTTTGAGACAGGGACTCACTAAGTTTCTGAGGCTAGTCTCAAACTTGCAATCTTCCTGCCTCAGCCTCCCAAATTGCTGGGATTCCAGTTGTGCACCACCATGCCTGAGAATTTTTTTTTTTTCAATATAAATGACAGAAATCCAAATTAACTGACTTCAGAAAGAAAAAAAAAGAGGTGTTACTTTTTGGCTTTTTTAAAAAATATTTTTTATTTGTAGTTGGACACAATACCTCTATTTTATTTGTTTATTTTTATGTGATGCTGAGGATAGAACCCAGCGTCTTGCACTGCTAGGGGAGCACTCTACCACTGTGCCCCAACCCCAGCCCCTGGCTTGTGTTTTTGATTCCAGTAAATCAAAAACATCCAGAGGTCCTGGCTTCACGCAAAGCTTGGTCCAGGCTTCAAATGATGTCAATGAGATTCTCTTTCCTGCTTCCTTCCTCTCCCACCCCTCTCTTAGTTATTCTTTCTTTAATTCTGACTTTCCTTGCATTGTGGTCCAGGGAATTCCAAGTTGACACTATCCTTATTACTAACAGTCCAGCAAAAAAAGAGTTTCTCTTTTCCAGTTGTTCCCAGAAATGGTTCTCGTTGGCTTAAATCATGTGACCATCTCTGAACCAACCCAAAGGCCAAGGGGAACGGACCACACTGTTTAGCCAGCCCTGGGTCACATGCCCATGCAGAACCCTAGGAATAGACAGGAAGTAATCATCCCCACAGAACCCTTCTGGATGGCAGTGGAGAGCTGGCTTCTCCAAAGAGAGAAAACTGAGCTTATACCATCCAAAGGGGAGTAGATGCTGGACAGGCAAAAAGATGGGGTTTGCACACAGAGCTCCCACACACACAACCAACACTGGGTCCTGGGGTAAAAGGCAGGCCATTCTTGGTGCCCTGCCTTTGTCCCTTCCTGTGCTACTCAGACACAGCTGGCAGCAGGGTGCCAGCTGAGCCTTTCTATTCACAGCTAGTGTTCTCCATCTTTCATAAACTGTCAAGTGCAAAAGGGCAGAAATGTTGACAGTTGCTCATCACTGTATCCCACTGCCCAGTTCCAAGCCCAATACCAAAAGCGTTTGCTGAATGAAGGGATGAAAGGATGGTGGGTGGCTTCCTGTCATCTGGAATTTGGTTTCCTCTAACTCACAGAATTGTACACTACTCAGCCTCTAAGAAATGACTAATGCAGTCAGCTGTCTGTCTGTGTGGCCCTGGTCTAAAGGCTGAGGATGCCAGGATTAGAAAACTGTTGTGCCAGCCCTGAAGGAACTCTAGGCCTAGAGAGTCACAGATAGGGGTGTGCTGGAGCTGGCTGGTAGGTTCACAGCCAATTATGCTCAGCCCATCCCAAATTCAAGTTTGTGATATCCCTTTGGTAGCTGGAAACCAGCTATGGTAGGAGTATTTATAGCATGATAATCAGCAAATACATATCAGCCTTTTTTTTCTCCTTAGAGTGATAGATGTTAAACATTTACCAAAATACCACTGCACGTAACTAAATATACAATTATATCAGAGTGACAGAAGGGACACAGTTGCTATGGGGTCTCAAGAAGGAAGAAATTCTTGGAGAAACTGAAAGCCTTCATAGAGAATTTTGGAAGGTTTTCTCTATTAGATTGCTGCATCCATTTTTCTTATCTCATCCCCAAGGCTAAAGCAGAAAACCAGAAGTCCCTGGTCTCACTGACTCACTGGCGCCCCCTGTCTCTGTGGTCACTGATCCTTATTTCTCTCTCCCAGGCCTGCACTTCTGAGCAGCGCTGAAAACTTCACTGTGCTCATCAAGAACAATATTGACTTCCCTGGCCACAACTATACCACGTAAGTGCCCAGAATGTCTGGTATAGCAGTTACCTACCTACAGCTGTGTAAAAAAGAAACATTCTAGGGCTAGAGTTGTACCTCAGTGATGGAGTGCTTGCCTAGCATGTGTGAAGTACTGGGTTCGATCCTCAGCACGATCTTTTATTCATAAATAAAATAAAGGTATTGTGTCCATCTACAACTAAAAATATTTAAAAAAGAAACCTTCTAAAATGACAAATACTTATTGTCTCTCATTCTGTGGATCAGGAATCTGAAAATGTATTTGCTGGGTGGATCTGGTTCAGGTCCTGGTCTCCTTGGTTAAATTCAGTCTGTCACAAGGCTGCAGTCATCTCTAGGCTCCACTGGGGCTGAAGATTCCCTTCTAGGCTCACTGATATGGTTATTGACAGCAGGCCTCTGTTCCTTACCAAGAGGATCTGACCCTAGGATCACATGTGTTTCCTTAGGACATGGTGGCTAGCAAGCAATTCAGGAAAGTAGTGGCTAGGCATGGTGGTGCACACCTGTAATCCTAGCAGCTCTGGAGGCTGAGTCAGGAGAATCTCAAGTTCAAAGCCAGCCTCAGCCATGGCAAAGCACTAAGTGAGACCCTGTCTCTAAATAAAATCAAATAGGGCTGGGATGTGGCTCGGTGGTCAAGTGCCCCTGAGTTCAATCCCTGGTACCAAAAAAAAAAAAGAGAGAGAGAGAGTGACTAAGTGAAAAAGCAAGTAACTAAGATGGAAGCCACAGTCTTCGGAAGTGGCTTCTGCCATATGCTATTGGTCAGAAAGCCCAAACTTGATACAGTGTGTGGGGCACTTCACAGGGTTCCCAGGAGCAGGGGTCATGAAACCCTCTGTGGAGCCTGGCAGCCACACTGGCTCATTCCAATGAGATGGATCGGTTTCCTAGAAATGTCTGTTTGCTTTCAATTTTGCACAGGAGAAACATCTTGCCAGGGTTGAACATCAGTTGTACCTTTCACAAGACTCAAAATCCACAATGTCCCATTTTCCGGCTAGGAGACATCTTCCAGGAAACAGGAGATAATTTTTCGGAGGTGGCAATCCAGGTGGGTGGACTTGTCTTTATTCAGTGGAGATGGGTGTCAGAGGATGAAAGATGTCAAGAGATGGGCCTGGGGTTGTGGCTCAGTGCCGGCTGCTCACCTTGTGCGGGCTGGGTTTGATCCTCAGAACCACATAGAGAATACATGGATAAAATGGAGTTATCGTGTCCATCTACAACTTAAAAAAAAAAATGTTAACGGGAAAAAAAAAAAAAGATATCAAGAGTTCAGACCCCTGGGCCTAAAAAATATGGCTCAGTTTATTGTGTATTTGCCAGAGGCTACATCTACATCACTTCAGTCATCTAACACTCAATGCTGGGAGGGAGCTGCTTGGTGTTAGCTTCCTGTAGCTGCTGTAACAAATGACCACAAATTGGATGGCTTAAAACAACACACACTTTCTTCTCTTTCTGGAGGGAAGTCCAAAATTATTTTTGCTGATATGAAGTGGAGGTGTCTGCAGGGCCATGCTCCCCCTGGAGGCTCTGGGGAGAAGCACGTCCTCGCCTTTCCCTCTTCTAGGGCTTCCTGCCTTGTGTTTCTTGGTTCTTACTCCCTGCCCCCATCTTCAGAGCCAGCAGTGAGGCACCTTGCTTCAGAGGTCATGCTGGCTCCTTATTCCCTCTCCTTTCACAAAACACTAATCTTCATGAGAGGGAGCATGTATAAAATGAGGCCCCAGGGGTCCAGGATTATCTCCCTAGCTCAAGACCTTAATTTGCTCACACTACCAGAAGTTTCCTCTAGGGATCATGGAGAGAGAATGCAAAAGAGATATTTGGTTAAGTGCTCTGAATTCCAGTTTGACAAGTTCGTTTTGCTTTGTTTGGTGGGGGAGGTTTACTGGGGATTTAACCCAGGGCACTTTACCACGGAGCTACATCCCTTTTTAATTTTTTTTTTTTTTTAATTTTAAGACAGTGTCTTGCTAAGTTTCTGAGGGTCTCACCAAATTGCTGAGGGCTGGCCTCAAACATAAAATTTTCCTATCTCAGGCTCCCAAGTGGCTGGGATTACAGGCTTGTGCCACTGTTCCCAGATTCAACTTTATTTTTAATAGGGGCTGGGGGTCATTAAAGGTGTTTGAGTGCAGGAAAGGTTTGTTTAAAATTGTATTTTAGGACTAAGTCTAAGGGTGGCGTGTCCTGGATAAGAGGAAGAACAGGGAGACGCCTTTGGGACTGCCCCAGTATTCTAGCTCACCTTCATGGCTCAGAAACCTTAATCTGCATTTTCCCTTTAAAGAAAAAACCTTTCCTGCAGCGCTGATCCCTGAGCAGGGAGATGTCTGGTGATTGCGTAACCTACTTCCAGCCAACTTAGAGACTGCCTCTTGTTGACTCCCCCAGGGAGGGATCATGGGCATTGAGATCTACTGGGACTGCAACCTGGACAGCTGGTCCCATCGCTGCCGACCCAAATACAGTTTCCGTCGCCTTGATGACAAGACCACCAATGAGTCCCTGTACCCTGGCTACAACTTCAGGTAACAGGGCTTCAGGTCAGACTCTCAGCAGCTGGCCCCAGGGAGCTTCCTGGTGGGGCTGAGCTGCATCCTAGTAGTCAGTCCAGTAGAGCTGGGTGTGAAGTACATTCTTTGTAAATCAAACGCAAAGTTGAGAAACAGAAAAAGGGTGAATTTTCCTTGGTCTGTACCAATTCTTCTGTGAGGCTCATAAGAGATCATAGCACACATATACTTTGGTATTCTATGAGATTTTGTTATTCTTATAATTATTTTTACACCCAGGACACTTCAGATTCCTTGTGGCCATTACACTGACGATCACAACATTCCATGTGGGGTGTACTGACAACATTTCTGCAGCTTAGGAAGGGTCTTGTACAAACCAGGCACTCACCAGCACCTCCCCACCCCTCCCCCGCGGGGGGAAGCCAGGAAAGGTTAAATGATCTGCCCAGTGCCCTCAACTAAGAGCCATACATCTAGGCCAGGTCACCTTATCTCCAAACTAATGCTCCTTCCCTCTCATCTCCTGACTTCCTCACCCATTCCTCCATCACTGAACATTTGGCTATTTTTACTCTTTTTATTTTAAATAACTTTACGTGGACAACTTTGCACAAAAATCTTTATTTGAATTCCAGATTATCTCTTTAGGTAAATTTCTAGAAGCAGAATACTTGGATCAAAGGTTGTGAACATTTTTATCATATACTTTTAGATTTTTGAAAATTTCTATGGCTGTATTTTTAGTTCTAGGATTTTTATTTTATTTTTTTCAAAGTCACCTGCTTCAGTGAGTTCCATTCCTAACTGTGGATTACTCTTTTTGCTCATTCTGTTGTCTAATTCCTCTCACATGGGCCTATCCTCTGAAGGAACTTGGGTGGATTTCTCCCTGTGGATTTTGGGATCTTCGCTGGGGGCTTGTCTTCAGCAGGGATGGCCTCAGGACATTCCTCTGGAGCCATCACTGTCATTTTGTAGTTGTTGCTGTTGGGACTACATGGCAATTATCAACTGTGAGCCAGTTTTTAATTTAATATCTGGGCTTGAGATCTTTTCACTCTACTAAAAGATCAGATTCCTGCTCCCTTACTGTGAGAGCCTTAGCAGCTCCAGTGCCCTTCCCTCTAACTGTGTTCAAATCTAGCTCCTGGGAGTTGGATCAGGTTCAGCGGCTCCTAAGGGTCACATGACTTCAATCCCCACTCACTACCATGTTGAGCAACTGAAAAAGTGTCCTTTTTTGTTTTAAGCACCATAATGATTGGTATTTTAATTTCTCCTGTGCTGCAGATTGAACCCAGGTCCTTGTATGTGCTAGATAAGTTTTCTACCATTGAGCTGCACCCCAGATATTTTATCTTGCACTTTCATGTGTATGGGGAGGGTGATGAGGCTTCTTGTACAGCTGGCTCCTTGGTGTACAATGGGGTTGGGTCCTGATAAACCCATTGTAAGTTGAAAATATCATAGATTGAAAATGCATTGAATATGTACTTAACCAACCAAGGAGCCTAGCTTAGAAACGCCGTACACAGTAGACTATAGGTTGTTTCCCCTCATGACAGTGATGGGGACTCAATGCCACGGCCCAGCACTGAGAGTGTCTCACTGGCCCAGAACAAGATCCAAATCCAAAATCCAGTATGGTTTCTACAGAACACATATGGTTTTCACACCATCATAAGTCAAAAATTCATAAGTGTAACCATTGTAAGCTCAGGCCTCCATCTTGATCAGAAGTCCCTTTTGCATGGTGATGGAGGCTGAATCCAGGGCCTCATCCAGGCTAGGTGGGAACACTTTGAAGCCTTGATGTCATGGGCCACATCTAATCCTCATGTGTGGTGTTTTGAAGTTTCTTTGTAGGGCATGGTGTGTGCCTCTGGTTTCTGGACTTCAACCCTATGAACTCACCCATGGTCTGGTTCCTTTGCACTCCCATGCCCTCCTGCCACCATGGTGTGACTTGTGCCTGTTTGGATCCTCTGCACAGCTCCTGATGCCCCTGCTCCTGACTCTTGCCTGGTAGTGAGCCAATGCCATCCTAACTTAGTTTCCATCTTACCTCCTGTCTGGATCATCTTTTCAGCCTGGTCCCCACAACTCTGTTAGTAACTTGGCCCTAACATGGTCTCCATGACCTATCACTGCCTGTGAGGTGAGACCCTGTTTCAAGAAAAAAAAAAAAAAGGAACAAACTACTGGTACATGCTACAATATGGATGAATCAGTCCCAACGACATTGAGTGAAAGAAACTAGACTAAATAAGCACATATTTTGTGTCATTTAGATGAAGTTGAAGAAAAGGTAAACTCCATCAATGACGATAGAAGATAGAATAGCAGTTGCTGTGCTGGGGGGCTGCAAGCTGTAGGACTTGGCTTGAAAGGAATATAAGAGAGTTTTATGGGACAAGGGAATGTTCTGGGATAATGGAATTTTGATAGGGATACAGATTATAGGGGACACTTGTTTGTCAAGATTTTTTTTTTTTTTTTGGCAGTACTGGGATTGAACTCATTTGTCAAAACTCATTAAACAGAACCCTTAGGGCTTATGCATTTTCCTGTATGTAAATTAGGTCTCGATAGAACAGGTGGACTAATCCAACTAGACCATTTCTGATGATAAATGCCATCAAGAAAATCAAGCAGGACAGTGTGATGGGGCACAGTGACCAGGGAAGACCCCTCCAAAGCAGGGTGGGTAGGACCCTATGGCATCTTTCCCTTTCTTGAGGACTGTGCTTTCCTAGTTACAAAGACAAACTGTACAGATGAGAACTCAGGTTCTGGGAAGCAACTTGGAAAACATGTTAACATTCAAGAATCAGCTCTCAAAAAGTGTGGCTCAGGCTCAGCATCCCATGGAACTCAGAAATGCACGTTCTTAGGCCCACCCTGATCTATAGAAACAGTCTAGGGGTGGTGCCCAGTGACCTGCATCTTCATGTCTCCATAGGAATCTGCTGCTCATTTGAGTTTGAGAACCATTGATCTAGACCCTGGGTCCTCAAAGTGTGGTCCTGGAACCAGTGTCATGGGCCTCAGTTGGGAGCTTGTTGCTCTGAAGATCATCACAGGGACCCCCCTCACCCAATCAATGAGTGAAAATTTGCACTTGAAGAAGATCCTTAGGAAATTCGTGTGCATATTAAGGTTTGAGAGCTGCTAATATCATCTGGCATCCCAAATGTACTTTCTTCTTAGATTCTTCACCTGACGACATTCTGGCTCTGGCTCTGGAGCTAGGGTGCAAACTTCTTGAGAAAATGAATAAGATGCCTAGTTTATCTGTACCTGCATATGCAAACATGTGTACACACACGTCCCCTCACTGCCTCTGAACCCCCTCCTGGCATATTCGCTGACTCTGGAGGGGTCAAGTAATATTTTATTACTTCATATTTTATTCAAAGCAGCATCATGAACCAGCAGGCAGCCCTTGACGGTGTTTCACCGTACACCTTTGGTGTACTTGTTTTAGCCTGGCAGTATCTTTTTTTTTTTAATGTTTATTTTTTAATTTTTTTTAGGTGGACACAATATCTCTATTTTTTTTTTTTTTAAATATTTTATTTTTTAGTTTTTGGCGGACACAACATCTTTGTTTGTATGTGGTGCTGAGGATCGAACCCGGGCCGCATGCATGCCAGGCGAGCGCGCTACCGCTTGAGCCACATCCCCAGCCCCTCTATTTTATTTTTATGTGGTGCTGAGGATCGAACCCAATGCCTCACGCATACCAGGCGAGCGCGCTAACACTTGAGCCACATCCCGAGCCCTCTGGCAATATCTTAAAACTTGAGAATACATAAACTTTAAAATTTGTAGAATATAGAAAAATCAGGACTTCTTGCATTTCCTAAAAAATTAAACTATTTAAGAAAACAAAATGTGAATCCTGAGTCCATATTCACCTGACAGCCATGGCTGGAGCTGAGTGTCAGTCCCTCTAGGAAGTGCATATATTTGGGGGGATGTCACTGCCTCCTTGTGCTTCTGGTCTCTTATCTTCATGGCCCCTGTGGGCATTTGAGTTCAAGTTCTCAGAGGTTGACTAATGCTTTCTGCCTCCTCTGGGTCAATGGAGTTTCAGCCATGGCCCTGAAAACAGCTCCTAGTTTAGGTAATTTTTGGATCATCCCCTGCTGCTCTGCTAAATGGGCTTATTGCAATTAGCAAGAAGAGAGGACAGGATCATTGGTCCCCTGGCTGCCCTTCCAGGCTGTATTCTTCACAGTCAGCAGAAGCATGCAAAGCCATGTACCAACCAGACGTCAGCAAATGTCCTCCGAGTCTCTGAGCTAAGCTTAAGAACATCAGCTCCTGGTGGGATGTGAGCTTTCTGAAGCCCCAAGGGGGTTATGACATTGGTTTTCTTTTAGAACAAAGCGTTAGCACATTTGTTGCCTGGAATGAGCACCAAAAGAAATCTTTGGCCAAAAATAAATTGTTGAGATCTGATGGGTAAAAGGAAAAATTATTTTCAAATAGCCATACAAAAGAGAAGGAAATTACATGTTAAATGAAATTTATGAGAAAATGTAACTTTCTAAAACAGAAAGTTAAAGAAGTCAAACAAATTGCAGAATTTTATATTCAACAAAAAGATTCACTGTCAAATATCCATATTCAGTGAACATGTGATTTAGCTGATTTTCAAAAAGTATAAACTAGGACAGGCCCACACTGAATGCATGACGCACTTGTCAGATCTAAAACAATTTGTGTATGTATTGGTATTGTGTGGCTGCTATGACAAATTGCCACAAATTTGAAGGCTTACAACAATAAACATATATTCTCTCACAGACACCAGAAGTCAGAAATCGGGTGTCAGTGGGGCCATAATCCCTCTGAAAGCTCATGGGGAGAATCTTTTTTGCCTCTTATAGCTTCTGGTGGCTCAGGCTTCCCTTATCTTGTACTGCATCACCTCAAGCTCTGCTTCCATCTCCACATGGTTTTCTCCTTTGTATCTGTATGTACTTATTTCATAAGGACTCCAAACATTGGTTTAGGGCCTACCTTAAATCCAGGATAATATCATTTTGAGATCCTTAACTTAATTGCATCTGCAAAGACCCTATTTCCAAATAATATATATACATAGATCCTGAGGTTTGGGACTTGAACTTTTGGTGGGGGCGGGGGGTGGGGGGCGGAAGGCCAGTGCTGGGGGTTGAACCCAAAACCTCATACATCCCAAGCAAGTGCTTTACCACTGAGCTGCAGTTCCAGCCCTTGTTATTTTTGAGACAGGGTATCACTAAATTGCCTATCCTGGCTTTGAACTTACATTCCTCCTGCCTCAGTCTCCTGACTAGCTGGGATTACAGGCCGGCACTACTGAGCCAGTATTCACCCATCACGATGTGCACAACAGCACCCCATCCAGTCCCAGTGATGCTCACAGTGTGGAAACATCTTGCACCTGCTGAAACCACACTTTGGGGTTCAAGCCCAGGAGTTTTCCTTTTGGCCACATTCTTCCCACATGACTGTCACTCCCAGTTTTAGAACCACTGCACCAAGACACTGAAAGCAGAAATTCCAGTACCTACTGTACGATGCTAACTTCTTAGGCATAGGGCCCTAATGCCAGCCCTGGGGTCTGGAGTGGTGATTCAGACTTAGCTTGAGTATTAAAAAAATGAATCACACAATAGAGAAGGAAGAGCTGTCTTGGAATGGCACAATTAGATGCAAGGAAACTGAAACCCCTCCAGCCAGAAACAGGCATTGAAGTAAGTGCCTGAGAATACCTAACTGGTCTCGACGTCAGATTTTGAGACCTCTAAATAAAGTTTCAGGTGTTTGCACTCTATTTTGGCAGAGCATCTGTCTTCTGTTTTCTTCTCTCCCTACACCTGTAAGTAGATTGTGAATTAATAATTCAGAAAGAAAATACATACCCTTATGTAAAAATAACCAGCACAATGTGGTGAGAGGGAGGGACACACTTAAAAGTTTCCTGAGGCATTTATTTAAGTGTTCCTGAATACTTACAAAAAATAAAACCTAGTGCTTTTCCTGACTACAGCCCTAATGAGAGCTTCACATTTGGAGTGACTGTGATTTGTGCCAGGCCCTAATTTATGAAGGTGACTGAGTGATGACGTAGAAAGGTCAATGCTGCTGAGAGAAGAACTCAGTACTACATTTCTCAAGAGGCGGAGCAGGCCATGCCACACAGGGAATTGGGGGAGGCTTTGACCCAGAGGGGGTCAAAGGGAAGCAAGGCACAGAAATGCTCGGGTGACTTGGGAAAGGTGGGCAGGGCTGGGAACAGTTGTGCTGACCCTTCCTGGGTGACTGAGGGCATGAGAAAAACAAACACAAAATCCAAGAAAATACAGGAGGACAGAGTGCTGAAGTAAACCTGTTCTCAATCCAAGTAATGAGTGTCTAAAATCCACCACTCCTCCTCCATGTTTTCTCTAGAAGCCAAAACTATTTTTCTTTCTTAGCAATAATCACATCGCTTGAAGTTATTTTTTAATTTCTCAGCTTATTGCTAATCCTGAATTGGTTAAAAATGTGTTCATTTTAATCTTCAATTAAAAGCCGATTTCCTGTCACTCTGAGGTGATGGAAGCAGAGCAGGTAACCTAGGGGTGCTCTGTGGTCTGGGTATTCAGAGAGTATAATTCTCTCTGAATTGTGCTCTTCCCTCTGCCAGTTGCATCAGACCTAGAAGGCACACAAGGAAGATTGGATTGGCTACTGGTTTGGTTTTTCTTTCCGTAAAATTCCAGCACTTTCAAAGAGATCTTTGTAAACATGGATTCTTTTTTTCCTGCAGATACGCCAAGTACTATAAGGAAAACAATGTTGAGAAACGGACTTTGATAAAAGTCTTTGGGATCCGTTTTGACATCCTGGTTTTTGGCACTGTAAGTCTGTCTTTTCCAGCCCTGGGCACCTTCATCCTATGACTGTGTCCCAATTATTGCTGTTGTAGCTCCAGAGAGTGAACCTTTTGAGTCACAGCCATTAGCTAGTGCTGTGCATTTTGCTTGTGGGATAAGAGAAGGGGAAGAAATGTCCTTAGGGTTCTATCCACAGATGAGCCATCTGGAGGGTACAGAATGGGACTGGGAAAAAAATTGTTAAAGAGTCAACAAGAAACAAAGGTAAGAGAGAAAGGGAGAGAGAGAAAGGGAAGGAGGAAAAGAAAAAGGGAGGGAGGGATGGAGGGATGAAGGAAGGAAGGACCCCTACAAAACAGTTTATAGTAATAGAATCCAACTCAAATGGCCTTAGGGGAAACTTTGTTTTGGTTTGTTTTTATTCATATAACTGAAAGTCCAGGGGTATTGCAGGCTTCAGATATGGCTGGATCCAGGTATTCGAACAAGATCTTCAGGAATCTGTCTCCCTTTGTCTCTTATTAAATCTGTTCTCCTGTCTAGGCATTGTTCTCAGGCTGGCCATCTCTACGTGGTGGTGTCAGGTAGTCCTGATGTCTTACTAGTTTAGCAACCTCAGGGAAAAAAGAACACACTTTCCCAGGAGTTTCAGGAAAGGATTCAAGCAGCAGACATTGATTCTGACTGGCTCAGTATGGGCCACATACCAGTTGCTGCCCTAATCACTGTGATCAGATTCTGCCATGCTCTCAATGGCTGGTCTTGAATGAGCCTTGACCAGCCTAGGAGCCAGAGGAGAGGGCCCAAATGGAGAGAAATGGTTGTCCAACAGAAAACTGAGGTGCTGGCTCCAGAAGAAGGAGGCAGAGAGTGCTGGACATGAAGACTCAGCAGGTCACCTCGGCACCCTGCTCCACAGCATATGGCTTATGTAATATAGGTTCTTGAACCACAAGAATAAGATAGAGCTGAGAGGATGAAAGGCTATTAAAAAAAGACCACAAGGACACTGTCAGGAAGAGTCAGAGTTTCTGCAGACATTTCTTTCCTTCTGCTCCTGAAGTCACCTCACACTACTTCTAGGGAAGGCTTGTCTGAAATTCTCAACTTGTATGGTCAACAGTGGTTGAATGTATTAGCTTAAAACATCCATGGTCCAGGCAGAGCCTGGACAGCAGAAACAGGACAACAGAATCACACTCCCCATCTGCACTCTGCTGCGTGAGCACACGGGTGCATCTAGAACCCACGACTGCAGGTGACAGCAAGAGAGCTCTGGATCTCAGCTGAGTAACAACCTCACTCTGTTTCCAGGGAGGAAAATTTGACATTATCCAGCTGGTTGTGTACGTCGGATCCACCCTCTCCTACTTTGGTTTGGTAAGAGATTCTCTTTCCCACACTTTAAGAAAATGGTTTGGCCAAAAGAAGTTTCACTACCCTGGTGCTTGTCTGGGTTCCCTCCAGGCCACTGTGTTCATTGACTTTCTCATCAACACTTACTCGAGCACCTTCTGCCGCTCCCATGTGTACCCCTGTTGCAAGTGCTGTGAACCCTGCGCGGTCAACGAGTATTACTACAGGAAGAAGTGTGAGTCCATCGTGGAGCCAAAGCCGGTGAGGCATGCCATGTTTAGGGGATGCCAAGGTCCCCAGAGGTTCTTCTAGGTGGCTAAGAATGCATAACAATTCAGGCCAAATCACAGGTTTAATCCCGTGGTGGTAAGTCCCTGGACTACCCCAGTGACCATTTCTCTGATGAATCTTTGGGTCCCAGGGAAGAATAGGAACAAAAACAGAGAAGCTATGAGGCGAAGATAAATTTTTATGGTCCAGGATTTGTCAATTTTGTCATTTATTAAATTGGTACAGTCCCCACAAAATAGCATAGTGACTTTGGAGAACAACGTGGCTTTGACTGGTAACTTTTAAATGAGACATACATTATAGCTGGGGACTTCTACTTCCTCCTCCCCACCCCAGAGAAGCCCTCACATGAGTGCCCAAGGTGTCCACTGCAGCACTGTTTATGGCCACATACCAGTTGTTGCCCTAATCACTGTGATCAGATTCTGCCATACTCTCAATGGCTGGTTTTGAATGAGCCTTGACCCAGCTATTAATAATTAATAAATGATTATTAGCCACAAAGAAACAGCATCCACCCAGGTGTCCACAGGGTGAACAGTGAAAGAGACTATGATAAACCCAAAGTAATGCCAGGGACATGCTTAAAAGAATGAGGTGACAGTTACAACAGCAGACATTTATATAGCACTAATAAGTGCTGGGTATACATTAGCCCATTTGACCTTCACAGCTACCCTATAAGGTAGGCATCACTGTTATCCCTTTGTATTTGTGAGGAAACTAAGGCACAGGAAGGTCAGAGAATTTGCTCAAAGTCCTACAGCTAGTGAGTGGTGGACAGGAAATTCCAGCTTAGGCAGGCTGGCCTCAGAACGTATGCCTGATCTGCGAAGTTACAGCTACTGGCAAGAGCAGACAGGATACTTAGTTGAGAGGGGGAAAAAAGCAAATGGAAGAACAATATGTATGGTATGATATATGTGTTAAAAACAGCAGATACACACATAAACTAATCCACATGTTCTCCATGTATTCCCTCATATTTATTACACGTTTATTTCATATACAAACATATAATCACATATGGGTGTGGACATATGTATATATACAAAAAGGTACTATGGTACACACGAAAGTGGTCACAGTGGATGCTTCTGGAAGAGAGCCTAGGACTGGAGTATAGACACAGGGGATTTCAGCCTCAGCTATATAATTTGATTTGGTTAATCTGGACTTTATGATGCAGGTTTGCTAAATTCAACTCCATGATTTCCCCCTAAAGAGAAATCTTGTACCTAAAAACAAAAGGAAAGAGGGTTCCTTTGTTTTTCCCCCATTCAAGAATACTGCTGTCTTTTTCCAGCAGCTGAGTGCACAACTTATTGTCCATTATACATGTGTCCACGACTGAAATGCAAGTTCACTCTTGCAACTAAAAAATAATTGACAGTTCATTATCTGAGATGATATGAAATTTCATAAACATATAAGTTGCATAAACATATAAGTTTCATAAAAATTTAAGTTGCAGTATCAGAACTTCCTGGAGATGCTGAATCTAGAGTAGCCACACCTGACAGAACACCACACAGGAATGTTACCTGGTGTTCAGGGACGCTAAGCGCTGGGCAGTAGGAGGTGGATGGGCTGAGTTTAGTGTTAAGGTGCAAGGGGTTCCAATTCTGATTTGCCTCTAGACTCAGAACTCATTCCTTCTTGCTCAACAAGAGTTTGGGGTTAGCATGTTCAACAGTTTGTCATTTGGTAAATGGGAACAGCTGCCTTTAAATATGTTTAGATAGGCAATTCTTTTTTTTTTTTTTTTTTTTTAGATAGGCAATTCTTGATAATTCTGTACATAAATGGGTAAACTTCTTAACCTTCTTTTCCTAGACATTAAAGTATGTGTCCTTTGTGGATGAACCCCACATTCGGATGATAGATAAGCAGCTACTTGGGAAAAGTCTACAACATGTCAAGGGCCAAGAAGTCCCAGTAAGTTAAAAGATTTAGTCCTTTTTCTTTTCTTTTTCTTTTTTTTTTTTAAGAAAATTTACTTTTAAATATAAACACATCTAGAAATCTGTATGAATTTTAACAATTAAACCTATTCATGTAACCAGCACCAGGTTAAAAAATTTAATATTCTCGAGTTAGAGGTGTAGTTAAGCTGTAGAGCTCTTAGCTAGTATGCACAAGGTCCTGGGCTCAGTCCCCAGCCGGGGAATGATATTGGCCAAATTATATTGTAATACTGTTTGCATATATGAATATGTAACAGTGAATTCCACCATTATGTACCATTAAAAATATGGAAAAATAAATAAAAATTGGTCCTTTACCCATTAAAAATATATATATTTCTAGCAGAAGTCCCTTTTATGCCCCTACCTAATGACTACCCTCCCTTAAAAATAGTCATTATCCTGTATTCAAAAATTAGTTTTTCCTGTTGCAGAATTTTATAAAAATTGAAACATAGTTAAGTACTCAGCATCTACTCTGTTCAATGTCTGGCTCTTTTCACTCAACATTATTTTTGTGAGTTATCCATGACCCCGCACAGGGCCCCCCCTGGATCTCACTATTGTATGATTTCTATTTTTTTTAATATCTTTATTTATTTATTTTTATGTGGTGTTGAGGATTGAACCCAGGGACTTGCACGTGCAAGGCGAGCGCTCTACCGCTGAGCCACAACCCCAGCGCCCCCCCCCCCACGCTCCCTTCTAATTTCTGTTTAGTAAACATCCCACTTAATGTATCCATTCTTCTATCAGTGGACATTTAGGTAATTTCTAGCTGGGGTTAATGCCAATCATGCTGCCATGGTGAACATATGGCACTCTGCAGGGTGACTGCCCAAGAGTGGAAGGCTGAGTCACGAGGCAGACGTATGTTCAGCTTCAGCAGTCGCTAACAAACAGTGCTCCAAAGTGGTGGTTCACATTCTCCCCAGCAGTTCTGGTGGCTAAGCATCTCCACTAGCTTTATTCATTTCCTAGGGTCGCAATAACCAGTTACCACAAACTAGGGTACTTAAAACAATAGAAATTGATTCTGCTGCAGTCAGGAAGCAAGATGTCTGAAATTAGGGTGTTGGCAGGGCCCTGCTCCCTCTGGAGGCTGACGAGAAGGATCCCTCCTTGCTCCTTGTAAACACCCAGCATCTGGTGTTTACAGCACTGGCCAGGACCCCTGGTGCATACAGTACCACACAGAAATGGTGACAGCAGGAACCTTTTGTCTCATTCCCTGTCTCAGGAAGAAGGCACTTCCCATTTCACAGTCATTATAGTATTTGTGATAAGGTTTTTGAGAATGTTCTTTCAAAGTAAGAAAATTCCCTACTGGGCCTAGTTTGCTAAGAATTTTCGTCACAGGGCTGGGGATGTAGCAGCTCAGTGGTACAGTACTTGGAGGCCCTGGGTTCCATCCTTAGCACCACAAATTTTTTTTTTTTATCATGAATGGATATTTAATTTTAGAATAAATTTTTTTTCTGCTTCTTTTGAAATGATCCCTGAGGGTTTTTCCCCCATCTGTGATGTGGTAAATTACACTCACTGATTTTCAAATATTAAGCCAACTTTGCATTCCTGAAATAAACTCAATATGAATGTGATATACTATTCTTTGTATTGACAGCACAATTTGATGGAGAGTCTGGCCAATTTCTTTCCATTCTTGTAATGTCCTTGTGGGGACTGAGTAGGAAGTGAATAACTAATTATTCACTGCTTTTGTGTATGTGGTAAAACACATAACATAAAATCAAACATTTTGATCACTTCAAAGTGTATGATTCAGTGATAAGCAGCACAGTCCCAGTTTTGTGCAGTCATCGCTCCAGCTTACTGCAGAACTTTTCATCACCCAAAAGGAAACCTCACCTCCATTGAGCAGCTACTTCCCATACCCATTTCCCATTCCTGTTTGCCTCTGGAAACTACTAACCTACTTTCTATCTCTACTGACTTGACTATTCTAGAAATTTGGAGAGAATGGAATCATACATTCTGTGGTGCTTTGCATCTGGTTTCTTTCACTTAGCATGTTTTCATAGCATGTATCCTACACCTGAACGAACAGAACATATGTTTGTCCACTCGTGGGGTGATGGATACTAGGGTTGTTTCTACCTGTCAGTCATCATGACTAGTGCTCCTGCTAACACTCATGTACAAGAACTGCTCAGTTTTAGTGTCCTTGATTCAGGCCTTCTTTGTCACAAATAACAGATATGGCAATGTAGTAGGAAGTGAGGGTCAGGACACCAAGATCTGGAAGCAACACTTTATTAGTGGCACCACAGCCCAGAGGGATAATTCCCAAGTCTGAGCCCAAGCACAGCAGGGCTTTTAGTTTAATACATAAGTAAGTTTGGGGCACATCAAGGCAAGGGGGTTGGTGCAGTTCTATTGGAGGTGTATCTACATTCCTTATATGAGTACAAGCTTGTCAACAGCCCAGGGACTCAGCCCACAAAGCTTAGGGACTTCTACTGCACTAACCCTAAAGGGGGATTGCTCTTTCCCCGCTGCTCTGTTTCCTGCTTCTGCTACTGCAGTTATCTTTTACAGGTACCTGTTAGCAACTGCAAGGTTCTATGGTTAAATGTCAGTAAGCAGAGCTGCTGTGTGTCAGCGTGCAGAACCACAGTTTGTCAGCTCTACAACTTCTAAAGCCTCCATGTTGCTCTATCACTGCAATTACGGCAACTTATCTTGGAGGATAACAAACGGATCTGACAGTAGAGTATCTGGAAGTCCAGGAAAGAGTGGGAATGAGCCAACAGATATTTACTGTTCACTGTGTGCTAAGCATTGTCCTAGGCATCAGGGACTGGTAAACTGACAGGGTCCTGTTTTCATATGAAAGAACAGTAATTAGGTAAACATAAATTATTAAATATAATTTTATAAGTTAGTAAAATTAAAGAATCTGCACCCCAGGCGTTGTCACTGCTGACGGGTATGGCAACTTCACTTTTCAGAGACCCCCGATGGACTTCACAGACCTGACCAAGCTGCCCCTATCTCTGCACGACCCACCCCCCATTCCTGGACAACCAGAGGAGATGCAGCCACTTCGTGAGGAGGCGACTCCTAAATCCAGAGACAGGCCGAGCTGGTGCCAGTGCGGAAGCTGCCTCCCGTCCCAGCTCCCCGAGAGTCGCAGGTGCCTAGAGGAGCTGTGCTGCCGCAGGAAGCCGGGGGCCTGCATCACCACCTCCCAGCTGTTCGGGAAACTGGTGCTGTCCAGACATGCCCTGCAGCTCCTCCTGCTCTACCAGGAGCCCCTGCTGGCCCTGGAGGCAGAGGGCACCAATGATCAATTGCGGCACTGTGCCTATAGGTGCTACACCACCTGGCGCTTTGGCTCCCAGGATGTGGCCGACTTCGCCATCCTGCCCAGCTGCTGCCGCTGGCGGATCCGAAAAGAGTTCCCCAAGAGTGAAGGGCCATACAGTGGTTTCAGGAGTCCTTACTGACGGCACAAGGCTGCAGCAGTCACATTAACATCACTGCTGCTAACACCTACAGCGTCACCTGCAAAGATCTGTGGCCAAATTTTCAGCCAGAGGGAAATGTGCCTTCCTCTCCCACTGCTCTGCACTGCTCTACCAACCAACCCACCAACCTCCACCTGGCCCCAAAGACCAGTGATTCAGATCTAAGTCTCCATTCTGTCTCTAGGAAGTTGTGTGACACCAGTAGACCTTTAACATTTGTATTTCAGTCGCCTTGTCACACAACCTACTATCTTAGAGCTACTGTGAGGACAGACTGAGATGGTGTACGTGGACTGTTGTGAGTGTGTAGAGAGCTTTGCGAACACAGAGCACCTCATCATGAGGTTGGATGGGGATAATATCCAACTAGCAATAAACCCTTGGGGTCCTAGGTGGAGGACCCAGCCAGGATTAAAGGTGCCCACAAACTGTTTGACACTTACCCCTCGAGATCCAAGCTTTCTGTCTCCTTTCCTTGAGTCTAGGAAGCTCTGGGGGCTTTATCAAATAGTGGACGTGATGCTGTGTCAATTTCAAGATGTCAGTCTTAAAAGAGTATGGCAGCTTCCACTTCCTGTCCCTTGGAACTCTTGCTGAGGGGGAAGCCAGCCCCATATGGAATCTGACTGTCCTAAGAACACTCTGCTGGAAGCCCAAGCAGCCGCATGGGGGAGGAAAGTGTCCCCAGCTCATGCCACACAAGCCCAGTCGCCAAGCCTGGGTGAGAAGCAGCCTTCAGGTGATTCCAGACCCTACAGACCTGTGCCTGAAACTGCATGAAACCCCCACGTGAGAAGTGCCCAGTCAACCCAGAGAACCAAGCTGCTGTGTTAAGTCACTAAATTTTTTTTTTAATATTTATTTTTTAGTATTTTTATTTTTTAGTTTTCGGCAGACACAACATCTTTGTTTGTATGTGGTGCTGACAGGCAAGCGCGCTACTGCTTGAGCCACATCCCCAGCCCAAGTCACTAAATTTTTAGGTTGTTTGTTACACAGCCACAGATGCCTGGGAACACAGCCATAGTCCACACCTTCCCTGGTTCTGAGGTTCATAGGGAGCCCCTTGGGAGTATAGGTCTCTGTTGGACAGTTCTAAGAAGGCTGCAGACCAAATCAGGCAACACACCAGCCCAGCCCGGGAAGCCATCAAATCCAGCTGTGTGCTACCCAACACAATGGTCCTATCACTGGAAAAAGCTGCCTTTGTGCCTTAACATCCTAGACTCTGCAATCAGTCAGAATGAGTGCAGCCGGGATGCTGCTTTCAAAGCAACCCACGCCCTAAACGTCACCATTTCTATACATCAACCACCAAGGATATGAAGACAAATAGTCAGGTTTGGGGCCTGTCTCAGGATTTCCTTTCCACGGTTTTGTCATGACCATAGGCTATTTATTTCTAAACAACTATTTCAAAGAATTGTTTAGAAACCACTATGAATAGCATTGAAATACTATGACTGGTGATCTGTGAGTGCTTTTATACTCCAAGACTTTACATTTTGATATTTTTTGAAAAACCAGCAGCTTTCTACTGTATTCATGCAAAATAGCATAAATAAAAACTTTTTTTGAACCAGGGCTTTATCTGGCTTTAAACTCAGGAATCAAATTAATTGTGCCAGATTGAATTTTCCTTTTTGCTACCTTTTCAGGGATATTTTTGTAAAGTTAATTATATATAACTTCATACTTTTTTTTTTTTTAATGATGGGGATTTGCACATACTAGGCAAACACTCTGTCACTGAGCTAAACCCCAGCCCAAGAACTGAAATGTTTTACTCCAAGAATTCTATGTAAGAATTCTATGTAACAACTGCAGGTTTCCATTCTGATGGCCTTTGACTCTTTCTACCTTATTTTTGGTGCCTTCTTCGCGGTGTGTTTCTATCACTCTGCTGAGGCCCCAGATGGAGCCATAATTTGGAATAGCAAATAATCACTGGATCCTTCTGTTTTCCTTCATCTTCCCCACGGATGCTCTGGGTGCAACATGATGTGCTACTGGACTGTGAAATGTCTGAACTTCCTACAGTACCTGGGATCATATTAGTATTTTTATTTTTAGTCTATTACATACAATATTGTTGCCAAAGGCAACCGAGCGCATATTAGGTAGGCATTAATTTGCCTTAAGTGGGGGGCATTCTTCTATTATGGTACACGCACAGCCTTCACCACTTCCCACTTCATCCTGTGTCAGAGGGAGGAGGTCTGCTTTCCTGCTGTGGACATGCTGACTTTATATAGAACTGATAATGGCTGGGCTTTACTCTCTTAAGGGACTTAAACCCTTCCAAATTCTAGATTGGTAATGCAGATATTCTTGATCGTTTTGATAATTCAAAAAAAAAAAAGATGGATAACTTATTTATTTAAACCTTCTTTTTCTGTTTTTTTTTTTCCTTCAGAATATCCCCAAATCAGAGTTAACACATTCATTTTCACATTCACTTAATAAAATATTCATAAAAATGTCACTGGAGACCAATGACAGATAAGACTGCTGCTCTTATGGGGATATAAAAAGATGGACATGAATAAAATGATTCAAGCAAATGCACATTTGCAATTTGTGATGAGTTATGATGAAGAAGGCAAATGATCATTTCAGAGTCTGTAAGAAAAGACTCTAATGTATTTGGGGAGATCATAAAAATCCTTCTTGAGGAAAGAACAAAGTTTAGCTAAAAGCTGACAAAAGTACTATTAACTAGGTGAATGGGAGGGAGCATTTTAGGTAGAAAGACTGGCATGTGCAAAGGTCCCAGGGCAGAAAAGCCATAGCAGGTTTGCTGCATTTGAAGAAGACCTATATGACTGTACCCTAAATAGCATGGGGAGTACAGCATGAAACAAGGACTTGCAGGCTACGGTAGAGTTGACTGTATCCAAGGGACAGCCATGAAGGGTTTTAAGCAGGAGCCTGATAAAATCATATTTAATTTTTAAAAGAACTCAGATTGCTATGTGAGAAAGAAATAGGAGTGGTGATAGATCTGGTTTAAACATTCATTTCAGCCTTTCCCACTTCATGAAACGTTTGCCCCAATACGCAGCCAAATGGACTGATTGTCTTTTTTCTCTTCCTCTTGGCAAGTCACGAAAAGATCAGCAGTGAGAGAAAAAGGAGGAAAAGCTTTGGGGAACCTTAATTTTTAGAATATTCCTGTCCCAGCTGGTGGGGATGAGGTCACTTGCTGAGCTTTAGGCCAGAAGCAGGAGTGGACCAAATGGAGAGTCCAAGGTCAGTCAGCAGAACCAATGAGGTGTTCCACCTTGTGGCAGAAGACCTAAAATCAAGGTCTCATGTTACACAGTGCCTCAGCACCCAGGAGAACCAGGAGGCCCTAACAAGCCTTCACACAACTCCTCTCCCCAGTCCTCCCTTGGAAAAGGTCACCTTCTCAGCAGCCTGCCTCATCAAACGGACCAGATGCAGCTCCTGCTTCTCCCATGGAACTGTCCCAGCGAACCAATCACATCCTCCTGTGGTGATACCCTGGTGACACAAAGCCTGCTTCCCACTGGCTCTGCTCACTCACTGTGTTCCCAAGTACTCCTACAGGCACGTGTGTCCTCTGAGCTGTGAGTGTGCATGACTAATAAATGGCTGCCATCTACCTGTCCAGCATCGGGCGTTGTTTGCTCGGCTCCCCCAAAACCCCAGGGTGGGTCCCTCCTCCTCCTCACCAGTGGGGTGAGAAGAGTGATTAAAACATCCTTGAGTCCAGGCCAACCAGGAGCCCTCAAAAATCAGAGGCTGGGCCTGCCTCTGCCCAGGCATTGACAGCACAAAGCCAACGAGGAACCGTGGTCTCGCTGAAATGATCCATCTGCGCCCCTGGGGGCGTCACTCTCTGCTGCTTTTATGTGTCTCAGCCCATATTCAAGTCCCGAGACTTGTCAGTCATCCTGGGAATCCTGGAGGTCCTGATTCCACTCCTCTCTTCTGAATGGACTTGGAAACCACTCTCCTCTTGCCCCTTTGGTCTCCTATTTCTCAGTCCTAGAGGGTTATGAATCACATTTCCTAATAAGTGAGAATCCATAGGGAGGATTCTGCCTTCTTAACATCCTGGGCTCTTTTAATGAATTATCAAGGTCACGCGAGCCTGAGTCTACCTGCATCAGAGGAAGAGAGGAGGTGGCCGACAAGGTGACTTGCCATTTTAACCAAGTAACAGTTACACTGGACCAGCTTGGATAAGGGTCAACGCAAACTGACAGGGCCTGATGAGAGCCTGTTAGTGTGGGGTCACAGGGGTTGACATTTTATTTCCTCCAGCAAATGAGAAGCTCCCATTGGCCAAGAACTCATCTTGATTTTGTGTCCCCTACATGCTTATGTGAACACACGAGTACAGTGGACACTGGACACAGGCCTCCTGGCTCAAATCCTGGCTTGGCCACCTAGCATGGAGCCTCGGGTGGCTCATCATGTCTAACCATGTGAGCGCTTATTATCTAGATGGTATCCAAAGGCCACTCGGGAGCTGCAGACTCATACATCTAGCCAGCTCTGGATATTCTACTCAAATAGTTTAGAGGCATCTTGAACAGGCAGGAGAGAGAAAGCACGGTGTCTGCTCCATCACCCCACCCCCGTATGCGCTTCCAGAACTTCCAAGTCGCAGTTTGTAGTACAACTGCCATTGGCTCAATTTCCCAACCAAAAATGCAGAGCATAGCACCGCCATCCCTCTCCTCCTCCCCATTCTATCAATATTATCAGTTCCTTCAGCAAACACTGACTGACACCCTGGCCCTCGTCAGTGCTAGGGATAAAGAGGAGAGCAGGCCAGGCCCTCCCTCGCCTAGTGGGACAGATGGCAATCCACGCTTAAGGAAGTGGGGGTGAGGATAGCCAGAGACCAAGAATTTCACGAAATGAGCAGGTGCATGACAGGAACGATGGAGTTACCTGGGTCAGGGTCAGGGACACTCTCCAAAGAAGGGACCTTTATGCCTGATGTGAATATCAGGAAGGAGCCAGCTGTGACAAACTGGAGGAAGGGCATTCTGGACAAAGGGACAGAAAAGGCGAAGTGGGAAAGAAACAAGTGTGCCCCAGGAACAGTGAGATGCCAGAATGCTTGCATGTTTAAGACATGGTCCCTGCCTTCTAAGTTCCGCTGAGGGCACAGGCATGGTGCTCTTCTTACTGCCTCATAGACTACATGATTCCCTGTCACCAAAACAGAAGCTCAAAGAAAGGTGAAATCCACACAGTCAAGCATGATCTCAGCAGCTCTGGAAAGCCTGTGAGATGTGAGCGCAGCCTCGCCAGCTGAGGAGCCCGGGACATTCAGTAGGATGGGCAGACGCATGTCTAATAGGCCAGTAGCATGAGCCAGGCCCAGAAAGAAATGGCAGAGTAGATGCAAACACACATGGACCCGAGTCTGCTCCAGGATGGGAAAACTGTGGGCGAGGGCTAAAGAGGGACAGACTGGGAAACCTTCAAAAGAAAAGGGCTGAGGTACGCGAGCCTGTTACAAAGTTGCCAAAGGCCATTCCTGGGCTGACAGGGGACTGGAGGAAAGCAGTGACTTCAGACAGCCGTGGGGATGATGGTCTATCAGAAGTCTGCTGGGATCACATGGGAGTGACTGGTGAGCCCCGTGGACCACTGAATTAGCGTTAGTGATGGAGATGAAGGGAAGAAGCTGGAAAATTACTTTTAAAACTTCCCAAAAGTCCAACAGTAAGAAGTTGGTTAAATAAATGAAGACACTTCCACGTAACAGAGGAGTACACAGCTATTTAACATGATGCCACTAAAGGGCAATTAGGATGTTCGAGGCAGAACACAACACGATGACCCTTTTGGCTTGAGAAGACTGTGAGCCTTAATTAGAACTCTGTTTTTCTTGTTTGTTTTGTTTTTTAATTTTCCTGCAATGATAGTTGTTAAAAACCTTTAACCCTGAATGCACAATTAAGGAAGACGAGAATCACCTAGCTCCTCATTGAAATATATCATGGATAAATACAAATCAGTCTTTCAGAGATGTCAGAAAAGGTTAGTAGCATTTTCTAAAATCCAGAAATTCAACTTAAAAGCCATCTTTTGAGTTTTCCCCTTTGTGATTTGGGACAGGTAGCTCAACAAGACCTGACATGGGACTAGCACTATATTTCTCTTCTCCTTAATTGTAACAAATATATTTTGAATACAAAATCTAATGCTTGAGTTTGGCAGTTCATCAAAAGGTTGAGCACAGAATTGCCACATGGTTCATCAACTTCATTTCTGGACATATGCCCTGAGGAACTGAGAGCAAGCAAATAGGGACCTGTAGCTGAGTGTTCACAGCAGCATATGGACACCAGCCTAAAGGTGGAAACAACTCAACAGATTAATGGATCACAAAATGAAGTCCATCCACAGAGTGGAATGTTACTTGACCATAAAAAGGAACAAGGTTCTAGCTGGGCACAGTGGGGCACAGCTGAAATCTCAGTTACCTGGGAAGCTGAGGCAGGAATACCACAAATTCTAGACCATTCTGACAGCAAGACCCTGTCTCAAAATAAAATTTAAAAGAGGTGGGGATGTAAGCTCACTTGGGGAGTGCTTGCCTAGCAGGTCCTGGGTTCAATCCTCATACCCCTCTAAAAGAAAAGAACGGGGTTCTGAGACATGCTACGGCATGAATGAACCTTGAAAAAATGCTAAGTGAAATCAGCAAGATTCAAAAAAGACAAATATGGTATGATTTCACTGATATGAACTATCTACAACAAATAAATTCAGAGAGGCAGAAGGTTTGAACAGAGATGATCAAAGGTGGAGGGAAATGGGTTGGGAGTTACTCTTTTGTTGGGAGTTACTATTGTTTTACAGACAGGGGATTGAACCCAGGGCCACATGTATGCTAGGCAAGCACTACCACTGAGCTCCATCCCCAGCCACGAGTTAGTATGGTTACAGAGCTCCTGTTTGGGATGATGACAAAGTTCTGGAAATGGACAACGGTGATGGTTGTGCAATACTGTGAATATATTTAATGGCACTAAATTGTATACTTTCAAATGGTTAGAATTGTAATTTCATGTCATGTACATTTACCACAATTTTTTAAATTAAAAAAAAGAAACCCTTTATTGCTTTGACAATTGTGAGATTTTGACATTTTATGTAATAAGAAAAAGATACTGTTTTGCAGTCTTTTAGTCTGTCTCAATTGCAGGCTTGGGTCAGTTTGCTGGTCATATTTCCTTGTGTCCTTAAGGCATATTAACATATCTTGTTAAGAAAATATTCCAGAAACCCAACATGACCAGAAAACCAGGAGAATTTGCCAACAAGAAGGCATAAGCCAGTGGGTGATGGGTATAAATCTAACCTTTGGCTTTCTTAGGATGAAATGCAAGGCCTGACCCTGCCTGAGGCCCTGACTTTACCACCACTGCACTATTTCTGCTGACCTGAGGGCAACAGGTCTGCATACAGCTTTAGTCAAAGCGCTAAAGCACGAGGACATGAAGCAGGCTTGCATGTGGGAGAGCGCCAGCCCCTGTGCCAGCCAGAGTTGGAGGATTGCCCAGCATAGCCCCTGGACGCGGCCTTTGCTTGCTGTTTCACTTGTGTTATTAGCTCCCATGTCACCCTGAGAGCAATGGGGCTCTGCCTCCAAGGAGGGTGTGTGGGAAACCTGCCATCGCAGGCAACTTACTGGTAATTACTGTGAGTACTGTGCCAGGTGGAGGCTTTTGAAAGTGTCACAGAGGCCCCATCAGAAAAGGGCTGGAACAAGTTGTCCTGGAAGGGAAGGTGGCACCTAAGGGAACTCAGCAAGGGCTGAAGGAGCTGCCTCACAGAAGCAGAGCCAATGTAGACGACAAGCAAAGGGCGAGAGGCTAGACAGCAGAGCGCTTTAGAAGGCAGGGTGTCCCTGTGGGAAACCCACTTTAGGTAAGCTGATCTAGAGCGAGTTGCAGAATAAGTAATGGATGGGGGTGAGTGGGTTTTGCTTTACAAAGGGACTCATAACAAGATAAGAGTCCTTTCAATAGCATTTGAAAAATTATAAAAATCAAGTCTCCTTTTTTAGGACCTTCTCTACCAAAGAGACAGAGGGATGTTCACAGCCCAGCTAGGAAGCTGAGACCACTCTAGAACTCATCTTATCTTTCCTGTTTGCAAGAGGAAAGGATTGAGTACTCTTAATCCCAAGATGCTCTCTTAACTGTATAAAATGAGATCAATGTGTACTTGACATTAAGCTCATGCAAACTGCTTAGCATACCACCTAGTAAATGGGTGCACTGTGTTAGGTAAAATCAAAGTCCACGCCATGACCTTGAAGGCCCAATTTGATCACCTCTGACTACTCCTCAGGACCTCAGCTCACACCCCTGCTCCTGACCCACTATGCTCCTTTCATACTGACCTTCTTTCTCTTCCTAGAACATATCAAGCTCTTCCCCACCTCAGGGCCTTTGCATTTGCTATTCTCTCTGCCTGGAATACTTTTCCCTGAGATTTTTCAGAAAAAAAAAAAAAGGCTCTTTCCTGACATCCAGCTATCAGCTCAAATACATCTTTTTTAAAGAGAGCTATCTCCAAGCTAACAGATACATAGAGAATTCAATACCCAGCCAGGAAGTCCTTTCT